TATATATATATATATATATATATATATATATATATATATATATACACATACATACATATATACAGCAAATGGAAACCCATTATTTGACTTCTTAACTGTTACATTAGACCAGTAAATAAGGAATTCTCATGGAAATGCTACTTTAAAACAATGCTACATAGATAACCTCAACATTGACGGTAAAGTTAAGCAGAAGGAAAATGGGTGGTAGAGAGGAGAACAGCAAAGGTGTAGATTCTAAACTATAGTTTTATTTGGAAGGCACTATTTTTACAAATACAATTTATAGTGGCTTCAAGGTCACTAAATCAAAAGTGAAACCAGTTTGAGTTCAAATAAGAATGCAGTTCAGAAGCACTACGAGTTTAATGAAAAGTTTGTACCTATATATGGCAGTAATCACATCACCACTGATCCCACAGTGTAGTAATACGCTTCTAACTGGCTTAAAAGGTATTTTCCACGGTGATTCAATGTGTACAGATAAGTTATTCATAGAAAAAATCTATAGTGTAACAAAAAAGCTGACTATCTAGACTGTGACGCATTGACTTCTTAGTTTCGGATTTTAAATTTGTGTTTAGATATCCTGTGTAGGAATCAGTAAAAAGCAGCAGCTGCCAGAAGAAAATTCAACTAACTTACAGTTTCATTGATTATATCTATAATATGAAATATTGCACATTGTGAGAACCACAAAGTAAAATGGTGTCCCCGATCGTGACAATGACTTTCAGTTCCTCTACAGAAACCGTTTCTAAGACCAATTCTCTTTTTAGGTCAGTGTTCCTCTGGCAGGAGGAACACTGTGGTTGCAGATGCTCGGCAGTCGATGAAGCAGCATCTTTTATGCCAGGAAAGTAGGCAGAAGGACAACGGTTGGTTAAGGTGAGATCAGATTAAAGGGTTTTTAGAACTCTGAGGAACTAAAAGCATCCTTGAGACCAAGCCAAAACCTTAAGATGTATAGGCAGAGGCTAAATTATCAAGACCTAAAAAATAAAGTTTAACAGTCTGAAAACTGTTTCAGATAAAATTAATAAGAATAACTAAACATAAAAATCTTAAGAAACTAAAAAAAAAAGTCTGCTGTTGTCTGACATCATGTTATCTTTCCAACCAGAGTGGGGATTTTATTTATTTTTATTAGTGTCTGATCATCCCGTTGCATGGCCCTGATAAAAAGGTCAACACTACAGGTTTAATTTTTAAAAGAAACTCCCAAGTGCTCAACCAGCACGAATTACGTCATGTTTTTTACGCAAGTTACCCACACGGCATTAAGTAAGCAAGTAAGACGTGACCAAGCGTTAAACCTAGAAAGGCAAAACAAACAAAAAAATGGCGTCCCATCGAGTAAACCGATTGAAAGTTTGAAAGTAAAGTGGCAATAACATCCACGGGAGGAAATCCATCCAACATGCAGAAACACCTGCGCACGCAACATGGCATACATTTTAACGAATGCCGTGTTTTTGATGCTCCCGGAGAGAAGCTAAAGTTATGACCAGCATGGAAGGAAGCTCTGGTGGTTAGTAGCTAGTTTTACATCACTGGCTGTGCTTAATGTGGTTCCTAGTAAATCATACGCCGTTTCTGGAAATAAACCAGTTTCCTACCACTTTGTGGGTTTATTAAACATGCTATGAAGTTACCCTGCATTTCAGGGAGAGTGAGAAAGGTGTTAAAGTGAGTATATGTACGGTAAAACCAGAGGTAGGATCATTTTTGCAGGGCTCTGTACCTTAATTAAGTTGCATGAACTGCTGTGTGTTTCTCAGTGAGTCCCAGTGTAAACTCTATTCACTCTTTGCAGATGGTTGGTTTTGATGCTTGTTTATTTAAATCAGGGGGAGATGAGTTTATTTCCCGAAATTGTACAGTAATGCTTTTTCATTAAATGGATGCCTTCTTCATTACATTTAGATGACTGTTAGGAGACGGGTAGCCTGGCTGCATCAGAGGCCGGCAGCTCCTGTTCACTGCTTTCTGTTTTCGCCGAGGCAGGCAGAAATAGAACGTCCCAGGCGAAGTTAGACGATTGTCACCGTGCACTTAGCAGATTCTTAGTCATCCAGGTCATAGTCATTCCGTAAAAGTTCAAAAATATTCACTGGACTTGGTTTCCAAGATTTGAAGACGTTTCGCCACCTCTCCAGGAAGCTTTCTCAAGACATTTGAATTAAGAAAGCTTCCTGGAGAGGTGGCGAAACGTCTTCAAATCTTGGAAACCAAGTCCAGTGGATATTTTTGAACTTTTACGGAATTACCAAGTTCGTTGTTTCACAGATTCGATAAGAGAATCGGAATCGTGAAAATCTTATCAATTCCCAACCCTAGTTTTTATCGATGTGCTCATATTCTAATAGAGAGCAAATCTATTTGCAAATATCTTTCTATCTATACAACTATATATATATATATCTATAGAAGTATTTCTCCATAGATAGATATATATATATCTATCGATATAGAAACATATCAATCTATATAACTATATCTATATAGATATATATATAAAATCAATATAAAAGTCAATATAAAATCTTCGGGACTCAACAATGAAACAAAATATCATAAACTGACTGTTTTCAGTTTAAGGTCTTTGAGCAAACCAGACAAGGACAAAGCGTGGAGGTGAAGAGGCTCACATTACCACCAGGGAATATAACATGACGTAGCGCAAAGACAAGCTGCTGTGCATCCCTTGTGGGGGGATCGGATGACATGACGCACGTACCTCCTCAATGCTCAGGCCGAGGAAGTCCTCCAGAGGCTCAGTGTTATCGGCTCCATCATCCTCCTGCAGGTCCTTCGCCAGGCTCAGCCGCTCCTTCTCATCCTCCTCCTGCAACAAAAAAAAGGATTTTAATAGGAATTTGTCACACATCCCTCGACCCCCTCCCAACAATTATCCCCTCCGACGCTCGCTAAGTGGCATCTTTATTAGATAAACTTATATAATCTAATATGATCCAGTCAAATTCTGCCATCAGAGATAATAACTTTAAGGGAACACTGAGAAACAGACTGAGGAGGATCTCCTCTGACTTCATTGTTCTCACAGTCACCTCCTTTCATTGGACAATAGTTTTTACTTTATACTGCCTTGCTACTTTTAATGATTTTTCTGAAGAATATTGCATCAAAATACAAAAAAATTAATTGGAAAAAAAAGGTAGAACATCCTTAATATTTCCAGGTGAAAAGGAAAGATGCTAAAACAACTAAAACATCTGATAAAAAGGAGGACTCACTGCCTGGACACACAACCTAATGTAGCCTCATTTATTTTACATGGAGGCTCTGGCCTCATGCATATTCCCAAGAGCAGCTCTGGTCTGCTGAAAAATTTTTCCCCATAACACCCCTCAAGGTGCCCTGTGGTACGGGAGCATTAGAAGCAAATCCTTTAAGTCCTGGAAGCAGTCGGTTAGACAGATCCAGTTCATCCCTCCAGACACGCTGCGGCTGCTTTATGATTCATCACGGCTCAGATTATAGTCACACCCGCGCTAACCTGTAGAACCGAACCGAACCTTTAATAAAATGTTTTGCTTTTCTTTCTTTAAATACCCAAACTCACTGCTCCTTCATATTTCTCACATTGGAGTTCCCAGATTTTTCCTGAATCGGTTTCCAGCTCTGACGTAATACAGGGTTCCTACAGCAT